TTCAGTAACTTAGTGCTGCATATTGTTAAGCTGTACATAACTCAATTACTTTTAGTCAATCAGGAAGCTTGCAAATGTATTTGACATCAAGTACGTACTTCACAAGTTTCCTCTTTTCTTTCTGTGTGCACGTGCACCTTCATCATCGGTATTAATTGTTAACTACAAAATGTTCATATATTCTTAGTAGCATATATATCAAAAGACATCTGAAAAATTGTCACAATGCTATGAAAACTAGTTAATAAAATATCCTCTGATTCCTGAATTTGATTGACCAGGTCTTCATTTTACATTGAATGTGAAACAGTTTTCAACATTGTTTTTAAGCCTATGCTTAACTTAGGTGACCCTTGCATCAAAATTTTCAAAAGTGTACAGAAGCATTTGAATCAGAAAAGTGACAATTTAAATCCAAGGTTCTCCAGTTGGTATTTTTTTGATAGCTCAATATTAACCAACACATGTGTGTTTTAGTGACATTTAAAATTTATCACCTACAAACATTTCAGTTAAAATTTGGTCTCAGATGACACAAATATGTATCCCTGTAAATATTATATTAATTTTCTCTTAAACTGCTTCTGAAATAACATATTTTTAGAGAAGTTCTTTTGAAAGTATGTATAATAATCAGTGGAGCAAATGCTTAGCCTAATCATGGAAAGTCAACACTTTCTTCTATACAAAGGCATTTAACTTTAAAAGCAAAGTCAAGGATTCTGAAGACCTATTTTGATTGGATTTTGTGTATGAACACAGACTAAACTTATCTTCGTGCCCTTGAGGTTCCTCCTTCATAGTTGAAGTCCTTTCGTAATAAATTCGTTGAAATAATTCAAAGATTAAATTGATTGGAGAAGCAGTCCTTGCTTAAAATTTTTCTAATTCTCTCTAATTCTTTGTCATGTTATGTAATTTGAGAGACAGGTTTTGGTGCTTTTGAAAGTGATCCAGATTAACTATGGTAAAAGTTGAACAATATGAGAAGCATATATATTTCGAGGTATTGAAATAAAAATTACTAACAATT